AAAAAAAAAACTAAGGTACATGAACACTTACCAAAGTTACTGCAGTAAAACTGTTAAAAATATTTTTAATGAATTGAAATTACTCCCATATTTTGACTAAAATCTCGGCTGAAAATGGAAATTACAACATGAAATCGCAAACATAAACAGATGAAACCTTGAACAAACAATATGAAGCAGTTGCAAATATCATTTACTCAAGTTACTTAGAAGTTTAGCATACTTTTACGGAGTTCACCCGAATCATCTCCGGATGTCTCCGTATCATACAGTGGCATTGTGCCAAGACAGCCGAAATTTATCCGTAATAAAGTCCCTAATATTTTCACACCAGTTGGGAATGAATTCTCCCAGATATGTTATACCCTTCACGACAGCGAAGGAGCTCACTCTCTAGAAACCAAAAGCGCAAGCACAAAATTTATTCTTGGCTGCTGTTAATAACACGCAGTAAAATTAGAAACTCTTACAGCTATGCTCTGAAAAGCGCCATCTGCTAAAGTAAGTCGGCACATTTTACTTTCCTGTCATGGTAATGACAAAAAACTTTTTGTGTTATACTCGCCGTTGGTAACATTCTGGTGGTTATTGTTTCAAAAACTGGAGAGACTATAACGGAACTTGCAATTATTTCGACTATATAGTCGCGTTCATTGCTAATTGTATGCCAAAAATACGAGCGGAAAAATGCCTTATTTCGGGAAAGGTTCCAGGGGGTTTGGCGGATTGCCACTGTGCTGTACGGAGATGGCCAAAAGTTATACGAGCGACCTCTGAGAAGGTATACATAACTTTTGTACAACACATGTAAATGAGATGTGACAAAGGGTTTTGTTTATCTGTGTTTAACCTGCTTGTTTTCAAAATCTCTTGCTTTTTGGCTTCCTTTCTGCCGAAATATCAGCAGAAATGTGAGACCGTTTTTTTTTTACACGTACCTTTTAACTTTTTTCCTTCAATAACTTTGTTAATTGCGCGGAAAAGCTGTCATTTTTTTTGCTGTAGGAATCTACGTACTTGACCGTTACAGAATATGTGAAGAAAATATGGGGTCTAGCCTAGTCCGAGAAAGCCAGGCCATCCTAAAGGACCGTTGGAAAACCTAATTTACTAAAAAGTAAGGAAATAATGAAGCCCGGGTAGTAGAAGAATAACGAATACCAAAAAAAGTATAAGGGAGTTGGAAGAGCCACAACCGTAGTATGGGCACATGCTTCTACCGGAATGTTATTGTAAGACAGGTTATGGTATTGAAAGTAAAAAACTGAAGATTACTTTGGACTCCTTGCATACAATGTGTAACATTACCGTAGTCCTTACTGTAGTAACTGTGCTACTTGTGGATAGTATTACTAGACTCGTGTAAAATAATAATCTGCCTACGAAAAACGCACAAAAAACATACGCAGAAGCAAGAAAAACAAGTGAGAAGAAAATAATAATACTGTTGACAAAAGACAAAAAAATGGAACAGTAAGATGTACTCGCCGCTTGTTATTTAAGGAAGAAGTACTTTAATACTTATACTTAGAATTACACTTGAATATATACTTTAAAAAAATATGTAATATACCTAAAAAATATTTAAAAATAATTTCAGGGCGAAGCCGAGGACTTTATGTACGCGCGCGACGTCAAGCTTCCCAAACCCGCAGCTTTTGTGAAAGTAGGGTGTCACCTCGAAACGAGGAGACTTCTTCTGAAGAGGACGATGAGGAAGACACTTAGGGCGAATATATGTAATATAGGTTAAATTTGTAAATACTACTATTTGTAAATAATATTCTTTTTTGTATTAATCCGCTTACTTCTTCTATTCTTGCTGCTTAGTTGCTCAAAGTCTAAATAACTTTTTCATTGCTCAATTGTTCTACTCTAAGTGCCCAACTTTGTTTCCCAAAGTACTTCATATTTTCTTTCGCGTAATTACTTTCTAGAAAACCTTTACCCTATAGAAGACTATTATAAACATAATTCTACTGAAATCATCAAAGATACTTATCGCAAATAACATTTTAAGTGGTAAAACGGTTGTTCACGACAAAAGAAATGTTTCTTTTTCTAACTGGTATTGTACAAACCCAGATTGGTCCCAAGCCTACTAAAAGCATTCAAAAAACCGAGGGGCTTACCTGGCTGAATCTAAAAAAAGAAAGGAGAAGTACAGTTTCCGCGCAATAGAAAGTTACTTCCGCAAAATATGGTAATACAGGTGGTGACAGACAAAATCAGCTATCACTTCACATTTAAACAAATATTTCGGTCACGGCCTCACAAATCACCAAAATTAAGCAACCATGTTGTAGCCACGAATGTGTCGAACAGAAATATGCCAAAAACTCCGCAAAACTCTTGATATTAGCCGGGCAAATACGCCTTAATTTGAACCAACGTCAGCGTTTTTATGGCTTGCCAAGTCTGCTGCACTACACTCATCCCGGTCCTGCAGCGAGAATTCTTGGTCATACAATTAGAAATGAACACGACTGCATAAATATATATAGACCGTGCTTTCATCTGAAGCTCTGAACGTTCAGCAAACGCGGTTTATAAAAAATCAAAACCTAGGGCTTACAGGACGTTTGTGTGCCTTGGGAAGGTTTTTATTCATTATAAACGGAGTTGGCCGAACGCTACAGCCGCAGACGAAAGACATTTTGCGTAAAGGTTGACATTACTGATCATTTCCAAACGGAGAACAGAGACGCATTCATATAGCTGTAAAACTTTATGGATGCATTAAATATAACTTAAACAGTGATCGCCGAACTTTTTTTCTTTGCGTCACCACGGCGATGTACATTAGAAAAAGATACTGTAAGGCTATTACCATGTTAATTTATAAACATAAACATGTCACTATGTTGGACTGGGCCTTTACCTCAAAGCCTGGACATTAATAGATGGCATATTCGAATCAGAAGCGACTTGAACGTTCAGCACACCTTACTCTTGTGGTATGTCTCATTAAAAATTAGTGTTCCAAACTAAGACGTCCAAGCTCTGCACTTCAGAACCCATGTGATAGGTGGTGTGGAAGTCTTCCCCTTCAGTTCGTCATGATTTAATTCTCTTACAGCTATTACATAACCAAGAATCCTGACTCACAACTCTGTTCTGTGGAACCAAGACTTCCCGTCAAGGTCACAACTCTAGCCTATTACCAATACGAAAAAATTTTTTAAACTGCCGTGAAGGTACAGTAGTAGTTTTTGCGAGAGGCACGTTATCTTCCCACTCCCAATAGTCATAAACAGGTGCTTCCCCAAAAATCCCATCGAGTTTTTGATAAATCGTGGAGATCCAACAGAACCCAACACGTGCGGTCAAAATATTATTACAGGAAGCAAAAATCTTGTTCTTCAAAAAGATTTTA